TGCTCCTAAGAAATACTAGCAAATTCAGGATCGAGGAGCAATGGCACGAAGTGGACCAATGTGTCCAAATGATCCCCTGTATCCCCAAACTCAGCCGCCGCCACCCCCCGAGGGAGATCACAGTGGTTCTTTTCTAGCCCCCCCACCCCAAAGGCTGGTATGCCCTTCCAACACGCATTTCACCAACGGGCATCCCTTGGGGATCCAGCTTTTCAAATGGGAGATGGGTGACAGGCAGGAGGTTGGGTAAGTGCTAGTGTCTGGAATTTTAAAAGTGTGTTCCTCTGGCTTCTCAGTAGGGTAGCTGCCTCTCAAGCTCTGGAAAGCACCCAAGTCTCAGCATTTAAAGAGAAAACAAGCGTTAAAAAAAATCCACAAAGCTGCATGTTTTAAGCAGCATCAACATCAAGGACTGCCACAGGCTGCGTCAGATCCACCCTGTTAGCATGCAGAATTATTTTGCACTATAGAAAAGCTGTCTTCTTCTTCTTCTTCTTCTTCTTCTTTTTTCCCTTCCAACCAAGAAAACAAACAAAATGGATGGGGGAAAAAAAGCAGAACTAATTAAGATCGTCATATCTCAATAAATATGCAAATGAAAAATCAAAACAAAGAAATTTCTATTTATCACATCATAAAGTTGCAAATTGCGGGACAGGCTAAATGTAAAATGGTCTCATTGGAAGCCTGGGTTTTGCAGCTGCGTTGGTAGGCTCAAGGATGAAGATGATGGACTTGGCAGGATCGGATCACTGGCAGTTGTTTTTGACCCCAAACGCTGTAGGGAGGAATGGGGTATAAAGATTCAGCCGAGTGAGCATGTGTGATGTTTCCTTTATTATTATTATCATCCTTACATAGTTGTACAAAGGAGTTTCAACTCAGCCTGTCGACATCAACTTTTACTGATTCCAAAACGTTCTTTTAATGGATTCTCTTGAGTTTCCTGGCTCTATCATCATAGCACCAACAAATAGCAGTATTCATTTTCTCTTTACATACTTAAATATCTTGGTTTTATTTTTCCTTCACTAATGTTATTGAATGTAATGTCCAGAAGAAAATGATCATTGATGGGAGTGCTCTTGACATCAGAATCTTGGTATTGACTTTCAACGCAAGGCGCGTGATATTTACGATGATTGCATTACAAATGATGACGGCCACTGGGATTTTGATTAAATGACATGTCTGATTTAATTGCAGACATTTAACAGCTTCACAAGATTGGGTTGATATCGTGACTGATGTTTTCCACCGTCTTGGGGGGGGGGGATGTCTAAGTCCTCGATTATTATCATTTTTTCCCTCTTGAGTGCAGTCGTCTTGGGTGAGGAAGTCCTCCTTTATTTCACAGGACATAATTCTGGCCAGTTACTTCTTTCCCTCAAGCCCCCTCACGCGGGTCTTCTCAAGTTTCAGACGCGTTTATGAAACGGTCCTCTAGCTGCATGCCAGAAGGTTAAGTGCGTAATCTTAGCAACACGGGAGGCTGACATCTGGAAAATTGTGATGGGAGGCCAGCCCTTGTAGAAAAGCTTGTGAAACACCCCCTCCCCCCCTGCTCCAAAATAAGGAACCAAAGACTGGAGTAGAGGCATGGCTCAAGTGGTAGAGTAACAACCAAACGAGTGCCAGACCTTGAGTTCAAACCCCAGTACCACCAACAAAACAAACAAAAAAAGAGAGACAAAACCGCCATCACCACCAGAGCATTCTTACTATCACATTGACTCCATGATTCTAATTACCCCTAAGCTCTGATAGCTGCTCATTGAGCCTCTGTCTCCAGAGTTATTCCATCTAAGAAATGGTGAACAAAATCAGTTACAGTACATGATCCTATGAGACGTGCTTTCTCTCGCTGAACACGATGCCCTTAAGGTCTGTGTTGTTACAAATGTCTGTAGCTCTCTTGTTTTTATGGTTGATATTCTATGGTTTGCCTCTACTGTCATGTTTTTTTTTTTTTAACTGTCCACCTACTTTAGGATACTGAGATTGTTTCTAGGATTGAGTTATTACAAATAAAACCGCAATGAATAGTCAGGTGCAGATTTAAGTGGGTAGTAATATTTTGCCGTAGTCTTAATTTGCATTTTAATCTGCATTTTAATGGCTATATTGATATGTGTCTTTCTGTGGGCTTATTGTCCACCCACATGCCTTCTACAGGAAAAAAAAATGTGTCTTCCTGTCAATTGTGTATTTTGCAAATAGATGATTTGTGTCACTTTGAGAATGCTTTACAAATTCTAGATATGAGTCCTTTATCAAATATGTGCTTTGAAAATGCTTTCTCTCCTTTCCTGCATCTTTCACAAAGTCAGAATTACAGTTTTTAATCTTATGGATTCCTATATATTAGATACTTTTTGTAATTTCTATGAAATATTTGTCTGCTTCAAGATTTCATTGGCTTTATATAAACATATTATTTTTCTAAAACTTTTATGGGCTTATGTTTTACAACTCAACTCATCATCTATCTTGGCTTAATTTCATATGAAGTCTGAGGTTTAGGTAAAGGTTAATTTTCCTTTTCTGTGTTATAGATATTGAACTGTCCCTTCCCCCATACTTTTGATTTAAGGCAATCTTTTCCTGCTTTGAATTTTGTGCACATTTTTTAATCAAAAAAAAGACAGCTGACTTTATTTTTGTGTTCTTGTCTGTCTATTGGTCTGCATGGCTGTCAAATTATCTTTATTACTGTCGAGTTTGCATCTTGGAATTGAAGAGAGTGATTTTCTGGCTACTTTAGTCTCATTTTTCAATATTTTAAAGCTATTTCTAGGACTTTTCCTTCCCATAGAAATTTAAGACTCATCTTGCCAAGATCAACGAAACCCCTTTGAGATTCTGATAAGGATCAGGTTAGATTTGAAAGTCAATTTTGGGGCAATTACCAGCAGTACCAGGCTCCATCTTCTAGGCTAGCTATCTTTCAACATTTGTTTAGAGCTCAGTTGATTTCTGTGATTTTTTTTTTTTTTTTTTTAGTTTGTATCATGTAAGCCTGGTGTATATACTGCTATATTCTTAACCAAGTACTTCATTCTTTTTACTATATATGTTTAGCAACTTGAGTTCATTTTTTTTATTATTAAGTTGGTGTACAAAGGAGTTATCATTTAACAAAGCAGTCTACAACTGATTTTTAAATGTTGATCTGGTAACCTATGAACTCCCTGGCCTTAGAGTTCTAGGTCTATTTGTTTTTTTTTAATCGTGCGGCACTTGGAGGAAAGCCAGGGCCTTATTATGGTGAGGCTACCTCTTCTCACTGTGGATTCCTGGAAAGTCAACCCTGTAGCAAAGTCCTCTCTACCCGTTATCTGTATTGTATTAGCCAGCCACAGAAAGCGAAAGCCACCCCAAGTTCCTGAATTTGGAAACAATGCCATAAAAGTTGCATTTGGAGAAATTGTTTGCAGTGCTGATTTGGATGCAGCGACCCGTAACTCAGGTGTGTGCCGATTTGGATGCAGCGACCCGTAACTCAGGTGTGAACCATCAGACTTAAATAGGAGTTTTCTTTCCATGCCATTTCCTACTGTCTCTTTAGTTTCCGTAGCAGAGCAATGGAATTCACATAGTTCTAATGGCCTGTATTCTGTAATGGACCGCAAGACATCGTCCCTGCGTTCTCCCAATGGATATTCACCTGACCTCTTGGAGACACTGTTAATGCCATTCTGGAAGATTCAGTGTGTGTGTTTGTCTTTTTTTTTCCCCAAAGTCCCACAGCAGCTAGTATTTAAAGTCAGACTCTTGACTATGCCCCAGACAACCAACTCTGCCCCTAGCATGGTGGCAGGTGAGTGAGTCTCTGACGCTCTGACGCTCAGACATCAGATTATGTTGTAGCTGGGCTGGTCCTTCCCTTCCCTTTTATTCAATGACTTTCTTATTACCCACAAGTCAACCTGTGAAACATGATGTCCGTCGAACAGTGTGGTACTGGAAGCAGAGTTTCTATTTCTTCCCGCATCTTCTCTGTTCCATTCAGGCAACGTTCCGTCGGACCTCCAGTTTACGGTGCAGAGGGTTTGGGTGCCTCCAATCCATCAGCAGACAATTAAGAACTGGCCTCTGATTCATTTCCCGAGCTAACTTGTAACGGTGTTGCTGATTACCCATTTTCGTAGTTTATGGCCAGGCAGGTGGATGAACAGCCCTGCCTGATTTATGAAGTGCTTGCCTTCTATAAATCACAGGAGTAGGAGCCCAGCATGCTGCTAATCCTAATTGGTTAAGTCCTAAGTAGGGAGTGATTAGAAAGTCCTCGGGAAAGCAGGAGTCTCATGCAAATGCGAGGGGTATGCCACTCGGGGGAGCAAGTTCCCCTTGTGGGCGAGACGAAGTCGTCCGGTGGCTCTTTCCCACTGCCGGTCAGCCCCTGGTGGTCTCCCAGGTGTTATTAAATCAGAGGAAGGGAAAGGGGAGCGAAGAGGAAGCCCAGACACAGCAGAAACAGAAGGCCGCTTTCCCGTCCTCTCGATGCATGAGTTTCCATCTGGGTTAATTTTCTGTCTCCCGTAAGCCACTTTTCACGAGGAAGGAGGACGGGGCGCCATGGCTCACGGCGCTGCCGGGGAAAGGCCTGCCACCCCCTCCGTCCTGGGGGAGTCCTTAGCATTGCAGTAGCAACCCTATAGACTTGTTTACCAAAAGCGTCAAGTCCCCAGAACATCCTAAACGCGTAAGACCATCCTCGTCCTCACGGGTTGGAAATCCGACTAGCTTAGAAATGCTCTTCTAGCAAAGGGAGAGAGGGCGTCCCCGGCTTCTCCATCCTAAGCCTGAAGACGCAGACTCAAGGGAGAGCAGCCTCCTCTTTCTTGTTCCAGCTGCCATAACTGTTCTTCTCTTTGGCTAACTTCTCTTCTCCTCCTCTCTCCCGTCTCTCCTCTTCCCTTCTCCTCTGTCCCCCCCCCATGTCCTGTCTCCCTCCCCACCTCCCTCTCTCCTCCACGTCCCTTGGGAACCCGCGCCAGATGCGGCGGTGGCAGCGGAGGCGGCGGCCGCAGCTCCTCTCCCGAGCTCGACGACGAGCCGCCGTGCTTGGAAGAGATCGACTACAGCGGGGACAGCAGCTCGGACCAGGAGGCCAGCCTCCCCGAGCTGGACAGGCAGATTCAGGAGTGCGCCTCCCACCGGGAGGGGGGAGAGGGAGAAGAAGAAGAAGAGGAGACAGGGCAGACAAGAGCCACGCCATTGTCCTGAGGCTCTTGGCTTACCCCGCAGCTCCAGCCTCTGGGTGTGTGCAGCAGCAGCAGCATTTACATAGAACGCATTGGGAACGGGAGGCAAGGAGCTGTTTTCGAGCTCCCCCCCCCCCTTTCCTGTAGACTGAAGTAGAGTAGTGTGCGCCTCCCCGCCACTGTTCAGAATTCTAAGTGGTTGCACCATGTCTTCTGCGACGGTGATCTCTGCATGTTCACGTGACGTGTCCCTGATACAAATAAAAGGCCTTGCCAAGACGCTGGGAGTCCTGGCCTGTCTGCATATCATGGGTGATGGATTGGACAGCTAAGCAGTTCCACGTATCCTGCTTACGCTCTGGTGGGCGGGGGGATATTTTTACGGGTCTGGTAGAGGTTGGACCAGACGATTCTATGGAGAAAGGATGCGGTCACTGGTCTTGACAAATGTACAAACTCCTATATGCACACAGGCCTCTCCCTCCCCACCCCCCACCCCCGCCCTGCTGGAAGACTGCGAGATACCCTGGAAAATTCATTCACTCAGGAATCAGGCAGACAGGCATGGTTCACATCCTAGACCTGGCAGTTTGCTTGTTATGAAAACCTAGGCCAGTAATTAAATCTCCACAAACTCCACACTGGTTTTCTTTCCTTCTTTCTTTCTTTTTTAAACACATGCAGCGGGAAGGAACATATCTATGTCACAAAGCTCTGGCGGTTGAGGAGATGGGATAATATATAAAAAACGTGCGTCTCGGCACGTGCGGTGTGCTGAGGTTGGCTGCTTTCCCTTCGCCATACGGAGCCTTCAGTGGAAGTTCTCTCACTGTTCCAGAAAGAAAAAGGAAATAAAAAAAAGGCACATTCTCTGGGGCCCCATGATTGAGAAGTCTGGGAAGGAAGTCACCTAGGTCCATAGGAAAAGAGCCCAGAGCTGGACTAGTTGAGATCAGTGAAGAGGGAGGGAGCCCTCTCAGTAGGCGGACAGAAGGAGTGGTGAACAATGAGACCCGCACAGGGGAGCAGAGAGGGCCGACCAGCCAAGAGATGACATGGGACACGGGTTGAAAGAGTAGATGCTCGTTTGGATGTCGTGATTGACCCTGTTAGGATTCCATGTGATGATGAGCAATGGAAATCCCTAACTATCAGCAGTTTCTCAGACACGGGGGATGCCCAGGCGAAGGTGATATCTACTCACTGTCAGAGATCGACTTCTACAGGTCTCCACCTCCTACTGTACATCTAAGACACTCGCAGACATCAGCTTCTGCATCAGCGACCCGGATAGTGGCAAGACCAACACAGAGCGGAGAACGTGTGTTCTCTGCCTTTGGGAGAGCTAGGCGTCACATTTCTGAGTGGGAAATTGAGAGAGAAACGATAGAATGAGGGAGGAGGAGGAGGAGCTCGAGGAGGAGCAGAAGAAAAAGAGGAGGAGGAGGAAGAGGAAGTCATTGAGGGTGATGATCATCTAAGGCTTTAAACAGGAGACCCAGGAATGAAGGAGGGTTGCTGGTCCTTGTGTTGATAGTCTAGAAGTGCTTCGGTGATGATCCCGAGGAAATTGTCACACAGCAGTGGAGACAGAGACCTTTGGCTCACAGAATGGAGGCTCCGCTCTTACTGCCGGTGATGCCTGCTAGACTCCAACGCTGTGTTTGTCTTTGGGGCCGGCAGCGGTCGTGGAGTAAAATTGGTTCATTCCTCCTTGGAAGAGAACACACGCCATGGGAGAATTACTGAATGGATCATATTTAGCTTTTACGGCAAGAATTAAAATGACTGGGACAAAAATGGGTAATTCCACGGTCAGGGATTTCCTGGGACCTTTCACGGTCCCTAGAACTTTCAGAGGCTAAACAATGATATTCATCCTCTGACCATCATAAATAATAATAATAGACAAAGCCTAGTTCTTTGGAATAATCCAGTTGGGATGTGTGATGGGACCTGGGTGTTGAGGTACGGTGTGGGTCACGGTACGCCGTTGAGATGGGTTCTGCGCTGGCTGTGGGGTGAAGCCAGGCCCCGCCGCCCTGCCTGCCACCCAGAGCAGCCAGAGTAGGGACGTTCAAAGATGGAGCCCTTGCTCGGCTCACCCCATCGCCGACCCACGTGTCGAAGGCTTGCTGGCAGCCCAGCGGGAGCGCAAGTCCTTTGCCGTGACTTACAGGCACGATTTCGGTGAAGGATGGCGTTGGAGGCACTCCCTGGACAAACTGGACACCCTCGATCACCAGTCCTCTATTCTCCCAGTGGGGTAAGACCACGACCAGGACGGAGCGAAACGTGGGAGCAGACACATGGCTGTCTACCAGCTGCACGTCTGACCCTCGCCGCCCGAGCCCGTGAGCCGAGCTCCCGCGTGCTGATCGTGGGGACGTCGGGGAGGAAGATGATGAGCCTAGGTAGGAGATGAAGAACAGGATCTACAGGCAAGCTGGTTCGTCAGACCCAAAGCAGAGGACACAGAGCACCTCTGTTCAAAGACTTCTAAGAATAACAAAGCCTCAGAAGAGTCCAGGGAGAAATCCCTTGTATCTTAAGAATGGTCGTTTTTAATTCTCAGCAAAATATATAACTGGCATATCCAGGCTATGGATGCATCGCTCCTCACCTTACTTTTTCTTTTTGTCGGTTGTGGGGCTTGAACTCTGGGTCTGGGCGCTGTCCCTCAGCTCTTCAGCTCAAGGCTAGCGCTCTACCACTTGAGCCACAGCGCCACTTCAGGCTTTTTTCTGCTTATGTGGTGCTGAGGAATTGAACCCAGGGCCTCATGCATGTAAGATAAGCACTCTACCACTGAGCCACCTTACTTTTAAAACCGGACAAGTGGACAATCCGACTGTTTGTTTTTTCTTCTGTGACCTCAAGGTCTCTGAGCTGTGCATGAAGGTCTGTGCTGACTTGCTTCCTTGTGCACCTGCCATACTACCCGAGCCCAGAGCTCTGCATGGAGTCCACAGACCCACCACTACGGGCAGATCTGACCCTTCACCTCAGTGTAACCGAGTCATGTGATTCCAACCACTCCCTTTCCCCTTACTCTTCTCATTTGGGGTTTTACCTCCGACAACACCGGCCTTTGGATAATCAACCAGACAGAATTTGGAATGGAAAAGCAAAATAGTGTTTCCCAATTTCTGCTACCTACAGTCTGTCAGTGAATTCCTGTGTATGGATGGGTGAAGGCCAGGCTCCATTCACGACCCACCCCACCAAGTAACTTCCTGGTCTGCTCTGCTGCTAAAATGTCACCTTCATCCTCCTTCCGTCTCCCCTGGTTTGCACTGTGAGTTCCCAGAAGCACCCTGAAGAAGTCTGCTGTTGGCTGTGGATGTTCGGCGTGGCCCGTGAACTCTTCTCTCTCCTCCTACCAGTCTGTAATCGCTTGGAGAACAAAGATGACTATGCGTTTCACGAGCCCTAGCACACTCACACCCCCAGAGCTGGTGGACCATCATTAAATATGCATCGCCTGATGAGGGAGAGCTTCATTTCTATGGCACATGTCTCCAGGGGAGGACCTCCTAAGGCCAATAAATTGGGCTAGGAGAGGGGTAAGAAAACACATGCTCCTGTGCCCTAGCACACGCAGTAAAGAAGCAGCCGGGAAGAAAAAGAAAAATCTCCCTCAGTCCTTGTGCGAGATGGCACCTTATTTTATAATTTCCCAGAAGAAACGTCTTTTTTTTTTTTTTTTTTCTTTTTTTCCTCCAAGTGGCCTGTAGAGGTCAGAAAAGGACCTTGCTTTCCCATCAGGGACGGTCCCCTGTCCCCATTAGCATGCACCCGGGGGTGTGTACGATGAAGCAGGCCCCGGGCCCCCACACATAGCAACGGAAATGCATTGACTTCAATAAAAACAGAGTGTAAAACAACTTTAGATTGACTCCAGCCTCGTTTATGCTTGCACACTTGTAATTCTGCCTCGGTAGGTCCCAGTGAAAGAGGCCATTGTCCCGGGAACTGAAGCACGTCTCTTCATGGCCACCCCAGCCCGTCCGAGGCCTGCCCCTTCTGCCTCACTGAATGAGGAACAAAACAGAATGAAAAAGAAAAAGAATCATAATTTCGTACTTCTAAAAAAAAAATAAAATAAAACCAGAGAGGACGCTGTCGTGATGAATGGAGCTCCGAGCGATGTGCGGGTCTTGGTTTTTGTTTTGTTTTGATGAATGCAAGTACATTCAGCATGCAGTGGGGAGAAATAGTGCTGTGTGGACCATGCAAATGAAGCAGGCCCTCCAGGGAGGGCGGAGAGATGAAGATTTCGGTCCGTAGGGGATAGATCAAGACACACGGAGTCCAAAAGTTCGAGATCGCGTTCTGGTATTTCAGCGTATGGATGCAAAGCTGAATCTTCAGCTCTCTGGACCTCGGTTTCTCCATTGGATGGCACAGGTCTGGTAGACCAGATGACAACAAAGGTCACTTGCCTAGCTCGCGTTCACCGGTGCCAGGGAGCCCTTGGCCCCAGCCCCAGGGTGGGCCGGGCGGGTGAAGAGGTGGTGCGAGGCTGCGCACACTGGCGCTCTGTCTGCCTGGGGCCTGGGATCCACGCCCGCACAAGGCCCCATTCAGCGCCCAGAGCAGCGCTTTTTGACACCCTGCCAGCGTCCCGTAGAATAAAAGCTTCCGAAAGCAGGGCTAAAAATAAATAATAAAACCCAGTGATAATGTACAGAGGAAGACTACAGGCAGAGGGTGAGAAATCGAGTCACAGAATCTTGGTGGGCGGGGCGGGGGGAGGGTGGTGGGGAAGGAGAGACTCCAACTCCTTTTCATCTTCCCATCGTTGGCCTGATGGTTGACGGGACCCCTTAAAGCACTCCTGATACTGAGAATATGATGTGAGCCCTAGGAGAGGGTGCAGAAGATGGGCAGAAGTGGGGGGGGGTCTCCCTCTCCCCCCCCCCATTTCCTCTCTGCCACACAGTTGGCCCTTCCTCCTTGCCGTCTCTTTGTTGGTTGTTCAGAGAATGAGCTCTTACACAGGCCCTGTCCTGTCCCCCA